GGAATGCTTTTCTACGTTTCATGTGAATAATCTACATTTGCAATAGAGCAACTGGAGGAGGCCTCTGGACAGTGGGCACTGGTCGAGAACCGCATTCCTACAGAATCCAGTATTTTCCTTCAAAGTGTCCTTCACAGTTTGGGGTTTTTTTAAATTAAAAAAAGAAATCATGTATATATTCAGCTAACCCCTGGGCATGCTCTGTCCATAAACCAACACCGTTATGAGGAAAGTTTTGCTGCAGCTCAAGCTATGCTTAAAAACTAGTAATTTTTTTTCACTATTGGGAGTATTGTATCATGAACTTAAAAATCAGAAGTGTAAATAATGTTTTTCTGTATTTCCTTACTAATAATTCTGCAAAGACGGCAGAAATGAACACAAACTCATCTCCACATTTTATCACATTCCAAATTAATGATGTGATGCTCTGGATAAGCGGGCAAGTTTGCTTTCTATTTAAGTGAACAATACTGGCAAGTTCCACAGAGGCGGCAAGTATAGACCAAATCTCACAGATACTGCACTGCATTTCAAAGGTGGGACTGCCACCCAGTTTCTCACAATAATGTTAGTTTCTCTGAAAAATAAATAAAATATTCTCCACATCTGTATGGGTGTAAGCTTGATGGACTTCTATCAAAAGTTCTGTCACACTCAGTAAAGGAGTAAGTATACAAAATGTAAGCAACACTTTCTTGTATGGACTGGAATGTAGTTATAAGAGATAAGACACAAAAATAGCACAAGTAGCATACATGTTGGCGTCAATTAACTCCATTTCATTCTGAACCAGCAGGAGCGTCACTTCCATTAAACTTGTCATAGCAGCTTCACGGACCCTGTTGAAACAGTCATACATTAGAGTAGTTACATCAGTATTTATTTCAATAAATATAGTCGCAGTTAAGTTAAACAGACACTGGCAAAAAATTCAAAACAATGAAGCGCTGACCCCTGAGAGCAGCTATCATATTTTGGGAGGAAGAAGACTGTGTACAGCCCCATTCTGTGAAGCGAAGCCCACATTTGCGCTGAGGGTGCAACAGTCATCCTAGTTTCCAGGTAAGACCCCTGCCTCACCAGCTTATTTTTTTTATTTTACCCAGATGTCATCAGGTTTATTCTTTATTTTAAGAGGCTTAAAATTGATAACTAATAGTAATATTTAGTGTGGAAGTAGATGTGTTTAAACCGAAGTGCTTTTTCTGCTTCAAATCATCTTCTAAAAAGGCCAACTCATATTGTGACAAGATATTTAGGCACTGTTAAAAATGTCATATTCTAGTACATTTTAAAGGTTAATACTTGCAATAATGAAAAAAAAGTCATTCAGAATGGCTTAAGTGGCTAAATAATAATTAGTTTAAATCTTAATAAAATTAGTTTAATCTTAATAAAAAAGATTAGCAAAAGTAACACCAGTTTGTGCATATTATCTATATGATGAATATTTTCTGCCTTCAAAATGTCTAAATATAGTATCAGTATAAAAGAAAGACGAAGAGTGTAATTTCAGTCAAAACCCCAAATCAATAAACTTGTTTTAAACCACACGCCTTGCCAATGCATGAGTTATGAAAAGTAGTTTATTTCTGAAGATATGGGCAGCACCATGGCACATCCTCAAGTGGTTACATGATCCTGCAGTAGACCAGGACCAACACATTCATCACATTAGTCACTCGTGGTAATGTCATCCTTTCTCAGTAATAATTAAAAAATATTTATATCAAAATATTTGAAAAGGTACTTGCCTACTGTGAAAAGACATACTCCTGTCTCTGATTTCCAAAACAAGGTGAAAACAGTTGCCTATGCAATCTAAAACTGGGTGGGACATTTGTTATAATGGTGAAAAAGGTAAATTACATCATTTTTTCCTAAGTAATTTAATACAAGTTTGGCAATCTTTCATCAAAGGATGTTTTTCTACTTTTTCCATATAGTATCTGACTATTAGATATTCATGTCTAACACCTGTAGACAGATTGGACAAGTCCCAGCAAACAATCTGTCAAAAGAAACGTGAAGTTTGCATACGGAAAGTAAAGTTAGTTAAACTTTCCCACGATTCCATTAAAGAAAGACAAAAATTACACACCAAAGAAAAGGTCTCTCCAGAGAAGTGGCAATTCTCCCCATATCTTTCCATCTTAGTCAGTGGTTTAAAAGAAAGAGAATGAGAAAACATTCATATTTGGGAGGCCACAAAAATATTTAGCAGCCAACAGTTTGCTATGAGAAAGTATTCCCCTTCCCCCTTTAATTTACATGTTCCTTGACTTGATTTTGGCTGGCATTGCCAAAGCAGCTTTAAAAGAATCTGATGCTCAAAGCACATTTGAATTTAAATGGATGTTGGGAATTTAATTTCCTCAGGATTTATTTGAAAATTCCCACTTTGTAGAGATTCATTTTTAAATTAAGACCTAGACAGAAGGATAAACAATAGGTAAAGGGAACTTCAGTACTGTCAGATGTGTAAGTTAACCTGAATACCTAGTAAGACTCAGCCAGGTTCTTATCTACTTTGGTATCTGGGCTGATTTTGAAAGCAAAAAGCTTAGTATCACTTCCCTTTCTCTGACTCCCACCCTATACGGTTGCTCTTACATTTTCTTTCAGCTACGTTCGCGTCAATTCTGTGTTAGCACTCTCTGAGCGACAGAGCCATTCACCTCCCTCTTGCTTCTTTGGCAGCTGAGGATGGAGGAGAGGGAAAGCCAAGCTCCTTCTTCCCTTGCGCAAGCTGGGACGACCTGATCTTGATCCTTACTTACAAGTTGGCATCCTTGTTTCTTCTTCTAAGTTTGAGATGTCAAACACGCCTACTTTTCTCCTATTTCTTGTCCTGTGTTATTATTTCCCTGTCATATGACGATTTTAACAACCAGTACTGAAGGCTGAGGAGCTGGATATCGTTATACAAACCAAGAAAAATGCAAACACACAAATATTAACTCAGGCTGATAAAAGTAGTCTGGATTATTTGCCCTGTGTACTTTTCCAACACCCTTGTAAATACTGTAGTGAAGTACCCTAAAGGAACAAGGCTTCTGAATTAAAAAAGCACCAATACTAACACAGTACAAAATATCTTTCTTCGACTTTGTGCTGTAGAACTTACACTTTGCTTTCTGTTCAAAGACAGAGAAGCTGTAAATAACTATTGCCACTCACAATGGAACTCGTGAGATCTCAGTGCCTGATAATGACTTGGTAGAGCAGAAGCATTAAAGTTTGACAGCAGTATAAACTACCCAAGGATTGCTGGCAATGGAAAACTCCAGCATGATACACTTTGCACCAAAAAAAGCACAATCACAACTTTTCTTCCTACATAAGACAATAGTTGGTTATAGGGTCTGTGATATTAGCTGCCATTCCTCATGGTAATTACAAACATACTTTACAGCACCTGGCCCTGTATTCAAGCTATCTAATAAGCAACCCTAAAGAGGAGAATATCACCATAATTAACTTTTTTCCTTTTTTTTTAAGCAAACCTGTGACTACCAAATAGAGTAACAACACTAAAGTCAAGAGTGAGTAGGACAGAATTCTAAAACAGACATAACCAGAAATTTGAGCCTAAACAGAAAGTTCCCAAACTCACACAATGCATACTTGGCATCATGCATTATTCTACGGGATTTGAACAGGGATCAGCATGCTATGCATGGCTGCTGAAGCTGAACACAGCCAGTGCTCCAGAACAGGACTGTTCTGCTTGCAGCAGGGAGGAGGGAGCAAGCAACTGAGACTGTTTTGGCCACAGAAAGTATGACTGGCAAGGAGGAGTGCACACCCTCCCCTGCGAAGTACAGTACCCTGCATCTTCATAGCTGCTCTCATCCACGCAAACTACACTGATGCTATTTGAATTACACTTTCCTGTGTTGCAGCCATCTGACTTGAGTTTTGTAGACCTGTTAGAAGCCACCACTCACAAGCAAAGCTTGTCTTTGGGAGATTCAATGTTTACTCAGAAAAAGAAAATGGAACATCAGAGAAACAGACTGACATACATCAAATACATATTATCACACCATTATTGTACCATACAACAATACCAACAGTACTACCCAAACTGTTAGGCAGGGTTGATACTGTATGTATAGAACAGTATCTAAAAGCCACATATATCTGCCTATTTTCAAATTCAAATTATGGATTAAGACAATAAAATGAAGAAGTCTTTAGCAAAACCAACATTTTACTCAAAATCAATTTCCAACAACTAACAGACAACTAAAATTGATTTATCACATTCATTTGCTTAGTTTATGGCTTCTTTATACAAAGATTAAGTGTTAATGCTCTGAGCCTTCTACATAGCAGCAAAATACTCATACATTTTAAGTCTGCAGATACTGTATTTATTCCTGTATTTAATTCCGATAACTTCATACTTAACAAGTACGATTTCACGCTGGGCATATTTGTGCTCATAAATATACTCAAAATGTACCCTGACAAGACAGCCTGTATGTTTCCTTAGTACTCATTTGATCTCTAAGATCCCTATTTCACATGGTTTTCTCACCCTGTAACCACCTTGTGGAATTCTACAGAGTGAAGCGAATAATAAGAAATCTTCATTGCTGCTCTGCCTACCACATTCAAAGCTTGCAGGAACTTCCAATCAGTAAGTGAAGTTACATCCCCAATTACAGCTCCTTTAGAAATTAAACACAAACCCGAAGGACATAAGCCTTTATAGTGCTTTGGTTCATCAATTTAGAAATTGCCATTTCAGATCTGTGTTACTGCAGGAATACAGAACATTCAGATGAATGCAATCTTAGATACTGAATCTTCTTTATACGATAAGGGAACTGTGAAGACTGAAGAACGTCACAAAAATATGGCTGCTACAGACTTAATCTTGTACCTATTCTATAGACTTCACAATAATACATATATTCCTAATTATTCTTGCCATCTAATAGCTGAAATCATTGAAAACCTTAACTTACAAAAGAGTCTATAACACCACAGCACAATTTATAAAGTTTTTATCTATCTCAGTTAGTTACTGGCCTTGAAAACGTGTCACCAACACGTTGTGCAACTGCTCCCTCTCCTGGCAAAAAATCCCCACAAAGCGAACTACAATAGGAGAGTAGGAGTAAATGTATTATTTTAAAGAAACAGAAGTAATGGCTTAAATCGCCATACTTTTTACAAGTAAATACATTCCTGATATTCACTAAAATAAAAGAATGTCATCCACAAAACCAGAGTAAGGCTGAACTTCAGTTTAAAACACCAACTTCTTAACTTCTGAGGCAATGGACAAATTCTTGTCAGTATTTCCTTTGACTTGCTACTCCTCTTCCTCCAGTGCGTTACTACCCATACTAAAATCCCCAAAAGCCTGGAACTATTTCTAACAGGTTTTGAAAACACATCCGTTTTTAATTAGACAGCAAACACAACAACTAAGTTTAAGTCTCCATTTGTAAGGGCTCTTACCATCCTCCAACGTCTCCTCGGCTGTCTGTGGTGTAGTCGGTCACACCATTTAGCAGCGTAGCATAAATCTGAGCAACGTTATCTCTGCAGACATATTCTTCCTGGGATCCTTCTCCCTTTACACCTACAGTCTGGCAAACCCTTTAAAAAGGGAAAACAGAGAGAGGGGAATACCACACTAGCAAAGAAAAACATTAAGACCATAGCTTTGTTTGGTTGTGTAATTAAATTCCCCAGACATACAGTATTCTAAACACCTATAACACCTGCTACAAACAGTATGAAGAGTATTTCTGAGCCTTCTGTATTATATTTGACCTGAGGATTTCTGATCAGTCTTCAGGTTTAAAGGAACTCTGGCAAGGCAAAAAACTCAACAGATAAGCAGACTGGTTTTATGTCTATAATACTACAAAAAGGAGTATGCTTAAAGTACCTATCAGTTTCTGAACTCTCCTTATAATGAAGTAAGCAAGAAAAGCAGAGGACTAATATAATGCGCATTGGATTTGCTATCAACAAACTTCTTTACATTGAAGGCATGGTTAACATGAGAAAGAGATTTGACTTTTTTTTTTTTTCAGTTTAAGAGCATCTATACTATGATACTGTTAACACTAACTACACTGTGGCACGTCAACACAGAAAATATTCCTTTTGAGAAAAGTACAATTTCTTTAAACCAATTCAGTCTTCTTATTAAGAAAGCGGAAACCCCATATATTCTTCCTCCTTGTTAAAGCTCACTAAAATGAAGCCCATGAGAAAGGTGAACTTTGAAATATACTCTATCTATTCAGTTAATTGATTTAAAAATCCACAACACCATCAGAGTTGTACTCCATCCTCAGATGTGTGATAATCCTCTGAATCAAAGCTATGTTGAATAATGGAGATGCACACAGTCCCATACTAAAAATGCGGACGTCGTAGTGTAACTGATTTCAAGAACCACACTGTAACAGAAAGCAGGAGAAAACTTCTCAAGAAAGAATTAACATTAGACAAAAATAAAGATGATTAACATACTTTGCAATTGCTATTAGGGCATCTCTTCTGGATTCTGCAAAGCTCACATCTGCAGGAGAAATTAAAGTAACTTTTTTCAAACCTTCCAAAACCTGGGGGAAAAAAAAAATTGAGATATTTAAATCCAATGCATTATTTATGATAAATGTTAAATTTTGATATTGTATTAAAATGAGCTCAATCATGTAGGAGAGAACCAAGCAGTCAACAGTATTTGGTTTCTCATCATGACCTGTCAGCATGCGTCACTTCTCCCTCTGGACAAATGTTCCATAGCAAAGGGATAATTCAATCTCTGGCTTTGCCATTAACACTACTAAAAGCAAGACTAAACTTAAATTATCAGAATCTATGGCAAGCTAAACTCATGATGATTTTCTGGAATTACTGTACATTACAAGAAACCCCTTTCACAAAGATCTTTAATTACAATCATTACTATTTATTTGATTGCAATTTATTCAAAATACTGTGTGCCTTCTTTGTCATTACAATGATCATATTTTCTCACCTGTTGGAGCCTGCCCTTCAGCAGAAATCTTGGAAGGGCCCCAAGAGCCCGTGAAAAGCCACAACGAATCATTTTCTCTGTGTTTTGTAGTTCCGAAACATACTGTGTCACCAGCTCATCTAGAAAAAAAAATACAATTGCAGAGTGAAAAGCAACTACCACATCCTTATCATTACATATTTGGTTAACAAAAAAATAAAACAGGAAAAGATTCCCCAAACAGAGTAGCTAGAAAATTTTATAATTCATTAAACTAAAATACAGAATACCTTTAATTTCCTACAGAAAAAATAATGACAATTTTAAGATGTTCCCTGTTAAATGAATGAATTCTTATTTTCTACATATGAAGTCAGATTTTTAGACAGACTAATCCTGGTCGTTCAGAGACAGAAAAGACAAAGGTCTCAATTTTAAAAAGTAATAATTTTTTTATAAATCTAAAGAGTACGTTAAGCATGAATTTAAATGTAAACACAGGGGAACAAGTTCTCTTATATTTAGAGGTCATCATTTTCGATAATTAGACAAGTGCTTTGTGTTAGGAAAGTGATCTCTCTGGATTCGTGAAGGTCAGTTACTCAACAGTTTCCCCCAAAAAGTCTTAACTGGACTCAGGATTTAAACACATGGATCATACCTAAGCAATAGGTTCACGTATGTCCCTTTTATACAGAGACAAAAATAAGGTGAGGCTTTTTGCAGGAGAAAGCTCAAAAAGAAGGGACCACTTTGAAGTAGGGATGCTGTGCTCAGGTTCTGCGCTTTGTTATATGATGAAACATGGACACTGGCTTTACAAACATGAGCACAGAAAAAAGGAACAAGAATAAATTGAACTGGGCATGAAAAAAGGAGACTCAACAATGAAGTGATACAAAGAAGAAAATGAGGATGAATGAAAAAAAAGAAAAAAGAAAAACTTCAGGAATCCTTCTACGTATTTCTACTGTAGTCTTTATCATAGACTTAACACACAATACTTCCTTTACCAGATTTTTCAGGTACTATATTAAACGCTTCTGCAAAATGCAGAGAAAAACAAGGTACTCCAGAAAAACTTCTAAGAATAACCAAGACAGTTGGGAGTAAACACAACTGTGGTTCAAAAAGGAGAAAGGTGGTCTTACTATGAATACGCACTTTTTAATTCTCAAAAGAAAGAAAAAGAATCAGAGATCCTAGGAAGATTATATAATTGTGTCATTGCTTACTGTCATCTAAGATTTAAATGATTGAGCAATATTTGCTAGAGGAAGAAAGAATAGTTACCATAAGAAACTACGCATTATTCATAACTCAAGATTTTTTTTTTTTTTTTTTAATGCCTGTGCAATCAGCAGGCCTCAACTAGTTCCTCACATCAGGGAGCTAGTTCCCTGTCCAGAGGTTAGCAATACCTTCATATAAGCACATCTATTATTTAAAAATTTCCAAACCACTGGAGTGTAAGATAGTCTTGAGGCTATAGGAAGATGCAATGCTTGCTTAGACAGCAAGATGATCTTAGACAGTAAGACTATGACAGTCTTCCCTTTGATGGATGTAAATTTAAGATTGACATTTTAGCCAAATGACAGAAAATTAAGACATGATTAAGACATGACAATAGCAAACAAGCAGCTCTTTACTTATAAGTGCTTAGTAATTATGCTAGCCAGAGTAATGCAAATGTTAATATTCTTCTAAGAGTCTTCAGCTTCATAAAACACCATGGCCTATGAAGTGTCTACAATATTAATTCAACACAATCCATCCTGAAAGAATATTAAAAGAGAAAGTCATCAAAACCAAACCAGAACACAGTACGGCAGAAAAAGCAAATCAAAGAAAAGGTGAAAACAAACAGAGGCCAAAGAAGTGATTCAATAGAATTGCAGCCTGTTAAGGACAGATTCAGAATGTGAATCACTAAATTATCTTTAGTTTGTGTTTTCATTTTAATCTGTCAAGCCACAGTGGAACACTGGTTAAATTTTATCAAAAACTTTTTTTTTTTCTAATTCCCTTAATTATGTTTAAACCTTTAACTGACTTATCTAAGGCACCAGCATTGTCATTGAACATGCTCTGCATTGCAGCTTCCACACATACGTGCATACATCAGACATTACAGGAAGGATTTTGAGTAGTGGATTTCAATCCCATAAACATACAGATTTTAATGGTCATGAAATATATAGTTTTTACTGGCACACAGATGAAAATATACAGGTCTTTTATTTCCTTTTAAAAGATGCTCGCATATATTAGGCACTTTTGTTACCATATGTAGAAGAGTCTTTAAGGAAGTACAAGGCCAAATAAAAGCATCATCAAGGCAGAGCTGACTAGAGAATTTTTAGAACAGAAAAATTTCCAAGTCCCAATTCTATTCTCTAAATCATACCAGAAAATCTGATGAAAAATTTTGCCTGTATCTACAGATCTGACTCTAATCATGTCCCTGGAGACCATCTGGGCAACATCGCTATGATTCCTTCAAGCACAAGCCAGATGAAAAGTTAACCTAGAATCCAGGGAGCAGGGGGAAGCTTCACAGGCATCTAAAAGAGTACAGCACCACGACAGACGCAGCCATCTACTGCATGTTTTCCCAGTACATCCTCTCTCCCTCTTGATTCTGACATCTGGCTGAGTTTTCCTCTCCACCTCTACGGAAGCTTGAAACTTTGTCTTACATAAAATGTAACCCATTAATCCTTCAACTCATTTTTAGCCTTCTTTGATTCAGCATTGCCTCCTCCTGCTCAAAGTGTTCTGTTTTTACAAAACATTTCCCTTTCCTGAGGTGCTTTGTTGTTTTTTTTTTCAAATCTGCCTCAGTATCATATCACAAGTTCCTATGCTGCACACAAAAATTCAGACATGCAGTGCCACATTTCATGAAGGGCTTTTTTTAGAATTACATTTTTTACAAAAATATAGAGATTTAGGAATACAGAAAAGATTTTAAAATCAAGATAGGCTGCTTTTACATATCAGCTATAACTTCTTTGGGACATGGACTGCATGTTACTATATATGTGATAGGTATCAGATTCATTATGGGAACTACTGTAATAGACTTAAATAATAAGGTATTCTGTTAAATATATGTAATTTTGTTGTCATATTTAGAAACACAAGAACATAAATGTTGTTATTCTTAAAATATCTATCTATAGAATCCAGCAATCTGTCTCTGATGGACATGATACAATTTTATACTTGAAAGAAAGAAAGGTCCAAGAAAATCAGTAGAAAAGAAGATGCTGATTCATATGCCCCTAACAAAAGTTTAAGGCTACTCCTGTACTACAGAACCAAACCCAAACAGATGAGGTTTCATATGCACATTTACAAGAACTCTGGGTGTCCTTGCTGTCCTTCTCTTCTTACTCCTAATCAATTCTTCTTCTTTAAGTCAGCCACAGTCTCTGGCATACAGTTTATCAAAATACGATGTGAAAACATCTCACTTTGTTAAAATTTAGGATTTGCCACAAACACATATTCTTTGCTTCTTTGTTTTACAGTATGGAATAGAAAAGCAATCTGTTCTTCTTAATATTCATTATTATGGTGCCTTGTATTCACCTCCAGTCTAAAAGAAGCAAATCCCCTGAGACACTTCCTAGACTTTCAGTTGGTTTTATCATTCTTTCCTAAAACATTCTGAAGACCTTTAAAATTACTGATGCTCCTCCCCACTCTATGCAATACCTCCAAAGTGCAAGTTAGGTCCAGCCCAGTATTTTCTGCCTCTAATGTAAACATGAGTCATTACCCTGTAGAGCTGGATCAGCTTCTCCCTTTTCATTGATGTAATATTCATTACACAGCGCAGCCAGTGCAGAGACTGCAGACTCCTGTAACAAAGGCAAAACTGTGAACTTGATGTATTTACTAAGGTCACGCTTTACGATAACTTTGCTTAGAATTAAATGGTTAAGGAAAAAGAGTGGATTTTTTAAAAAAATCAGTCCCTTCAGCTACTGACATTTACTTTCTTATTATTTCTTCCCAATACTGGTTCAAGTACAGTTGACAGGAAACCTATGTAAGAAAAAACCAGATTCTACTCTTATTCCTTCAAAAGTACCAGTAAGCTAAATTAATATTTAAGACATTACTAGTAATGTATCAACTGCATTTTCAGTTCAGTTGAAAGACCCCCAAGATCACACAGTATTACAAAATACAGAAGTCATTATTTCGTCTCAATATATTGATGCCAAATTGATAAGAAACAAACCATATTTCCCCAGAAAGCTATAGAAAGGAAACACAGGGAAAAAAACATGGACTGAAGGTTATAAACAAAACCCCCAAAATATCCAGTATCCCAATATGTCTCAATCTTAATTGGTTTAGGAAAGGATCAAAGGTTGAGTATTATGCCTGAACCTCCTAATCTTTAGAGTGGTTTCAGTCACCAATACAGAACACAAAACTAATACAGTTGCTATGTCATTAAGTATATAACAAGTTTTCTCATAAAATTCATGGTGGAATTATACTTTTTAGCTAATTATATAATGCTGACCAAAATTATAATAAATTTGAGAACGTACAAAAACTATGCACTGTTCGCTCCATATGAATAGCAACAATACTTATTAATACTCATGTTCTCCTGGTACAAGAAGTCTTAAATGATAACACAGGAATCCTGTACAGCCTATTCATTCTGCCCTCAAAGACACCTCAGGCTTGTTCTCCGTGCAAAATCAAGGACTTGAAAGAAAACCAGTATTCATCTAAATAATATTCTAACTACTGCAGACATTATAGTAGCAAAATATACAGAATTATCTAATTGCTGTAGATCACAGAATCATAGAACAGTTTGGGTTGGTAGAGACCTTAAAGGTCATCTCATCCAACCCCTCTGCAATGACCAGGGACATCTTCGATAGGAGCAGGTTGCTCAGATCCTTCACTTTCTAAAGAGAATAGTTTTCACCTTATATGCATGAAGTTACATTGGAATGTGTACGTCAGAAAAAAAAAGATTACTTTTCAATGTCTTAAACATTGCCCTTAAAATTATTTCTCTCTAAAATATATACAGAAATCAAGTGAGAATTGACATTTACTAAACATACTTTGCTCAACATTAATTAATATTAGCCAAACAATTCAACATTCCCTAAAGTCTACAATTAATTCTTCTAAGTTTGGTTTTAAAGTTCCAGTTATAAGACATACAAACTCTCTGAATAAATTGCTAATGCCAAAAGAATATTCCAAGAATTCAAATTTCATCTTTTAATTTTCTTCAGTGATTTGGAGACATTCTAGTCTTCCAAGGAAGACTTTAAAAGATGAGCTACCAGTGCAATCATTTTTTATCTTATTTTTAAAAACTAACAAAATTAACACAATATGTTATTTTCAAATTGTCTCTGTGATGGCTATAAGCTCTAACAAGGCAGACAAAAATTTTCTTTATAATTTGGTAGAGCCTTTAAGAGCAAAAGAGCAAACTGTCATGGTACTACTCGGGAAAATGAAGGCAAATAGCTGGATGTATTGAGATCACGTACATAAAACAGCATGAAACACATCCATCAATGGATTTAATATTCAGAATTAGAATAACTCGAGAGCACAGTAGAAGGATTTGCAACAGAGTTTAATGGAAAATTTAAGCATGTTGTGCTGAATATCTCTGGTTGACCACACCAATGTTCTCACTGTTACAAACATGCCCTCAGGACATTAGGACTGAGGACATCATCCAGAGATTCTTTTTAATTCTCACAAAAGTTCTATGGAACACCAAAATCAACATACCTTACACATATTACAGGTACACCAAAACAGAAGCAAAATATCCTATCAGTGTAACCATACAGCCGACAGCAAGTAGCTTCAAGGAACCATCAGCAACTACTCGCTGCCAGTCCACTGTCCAACCATTGTGACAGCTGTTCAAGGATTCATCAAAAAGGTCCCTTTGAATTTTGAGGAATTTAAACTAAAAAAAAACAAAACCCAAACAACCCCCAAACCCCTCTTGCCAATCTAAGAAACATTCAACAATCAATTATATTCCATAGAAAATAATTCACCATCGGAAAGCAAAAGTATTTCTAATTCTGTATTTAATGTGACTACACGAAGAACTATTGTACCTTTATATGCTGTTGTGCAGCGCTTGAAACAAGAGAGAGACTTCTTAGACTGTCATTTATTAACCACTGCCAGCCACCTGAAATAGTAAGGAACATAAATGGTATTAATTTTTCTTACTTTCTGAACTTCAACATCCTGTTTTAGTTTTTACGAAACCGAGCAATTATACATATTGACATATTTCCTTGGGTTTCCAAATTAAACAAGGTTGTGATTCTCAATTAGTATAGCTATTCTGGTCAGTTTTACTATGCACATAGCGCAAACACTGCATCTGGTAATGCTGAAAACTTGACAGGAAAAAAAAAATAATTTGTAAACAGCTACAAACATATCATCAAATAACATCACTATCTGTCACAATGTTTGTGTATCTTTTTTTATTTGTTAGGCCACCCAATCGTGCTAATCTTGCTTCTTTGAGAAACATCAGTTGTTAATACGTTAGCTTAATCAGTAACTACTAAGATAATGAAAGGTTATTTAAATTATGACATACCGATTATTGGATCTCCTCTAAATGGCATTTTTGATAGTGACAATTTTTCAATTAAAGTGCAGACTGTAAGAAAATAAATTTGATAACTGGGTAAATACAAAAAAATGAGATATTGCAGTAATTTTGAAGATACAACCCCATCAAGTTACATTAGCATTCATTTTAAATTGAAGACAATTTGCAATTAGAAATCAAAAATATGTGAAATTAGAAACTGAAAGGAAATTACACTTGTGATTCTTACATACAAAAAAAGCTACTATGCAGTAACTGTTCTCCGACACGACTTAGTCCCAGATCTGTTGTTTGGTGGTATGTTTTTGCCCCTCTGCCATTTCAGGTGCATATATACTCATTGGCCACCTTTCTGTTTCTATACCCGTCTGTAAATGACTATGTAATATCATTGATAATCAACCAACTTGGACAAGGATAATACTACAGCCACTAAAAACCTATTCAAATATATATATATATATAAAAGGAAGGTTTTTCTACTTATTAGCATTTTTTTGGACCTTCAAGGAGTGGCATCTGTTCACTGCACAGAGCCAGGAGCTATAAAACTGGATGCAGCTTTATTTCCTTTGATGCTCAGAATATGAGAAAATGTCATTTTAATAATTAAGTCATTGTTTTGAATCTATAAACTTAAATGAGTTCTCAACTTACAAAACCACTTTCAGAATAGTTTTTTTTTTTTTAGTGTTTCAAGGCTGTTTTGGGGAATAGATTACCACAGTAAACACAGCAAACTTTTAGTATTCAACAGATTGACTGCATTGTTCAAATGAAAACTCAGCACCTCGGAAATATAGTATCTTCCAGCTCCTGGTGATCAGTTCAAACAAAACAGGTCAGTATACATCCATACTCGCTATCTGACTGCTTTAGAGTTGGTGGAGAGGAGGGAGAGGACAGAACAAACTGCTACGTAATACCACCTTTTTGTTTTTCTCTCCTCCCACAACTTAATCTTTGAATCTCACTCCAGGCTCTGTACACAGTTCATCATCATCTTCATTTATAATCAACTTACTGGGCTCCAAATCTACTCTTGAATTCAGTCCTCCCTATGGTAATGCCACACAATCAGGCTCCCTGTGTTCAAACTCCATTCAATGTTGTATGTCAGCTTCTTTGTTCTAATATTTATTCACAGACAAGGTTAAGTACACTGTGACTAAACCCAAGTCTCTTAGGGTTCCTCCTTAGTTCTCTATGCTTCTTTTATGCTCTATTGTGGTTGAGACCATCATCTTCATTAGACATGCAGGCAATTTGTGGAATATTTTCAATTCTTCTCTTATTCCACCTACACAGTTGTATCATGCCAAAATACTGTCATTTGTATTTCTCCGATACTATGAAATACTCAGCTGCTTGAAAGCTAAACTGTATTTAAAACCCAGACCTATTCTTTCAGCCTGCATTATCGTGTCACAAGACTCATTCAAAGACTGCAGAAATCCCCTTGCCCTCCTCACCTCTTCTATTTGATCACCCTTCTACCTTGCTACTGAAACTCCTTTACCCACTATGTTTGGATGGCTTCACATCTTCAAAGCCAGAATCTACTCTGTAGCACTTCCTTCATTCAACCCATGAGCAGGAAACTCAAGTTGGCATCATTTCCTTATCCACCCAGGCTACCTGGATGCATACTTTTTCCTGCAATGCCCTTCCTTTTTACAGTGGTCCTATATATAACAATCTTCAAAATCCATGTGAACAACCTGTGCTGGAGCACCTTTCCTATGAGGACAGGCTGAGAGAGTTGGGATTGTTCAGCCTGGAGAAGAGAAGGCTCCAGGGAGACGTAATTGTGGCCCTCCAGTATCTGAAGGGGCCCACAGCAAAGATGGTGAGGGACTGTTTATCAGGGAGTGTAGTGACAGGACAAGGGGTAAGGGGTTTAAGCTGCAGGAGGGTCGATTTAGATTAGATGTTAGAAAAAAATTCTTTACTGTTAGAGTGGTGAGGTACTGGCACAGGTTGCCCCATCCCTGGAAGTGTTTAAGACCAAGTTGGATGAGGCTTTGGGCAATGTGGTCTAGTGGAGGGTGTCCCTGCCTGCAGCAGGGGGGGTGGAACTAGATGATCTTTAAGGTCCTTTCCAACCCAAACCATTCCATGATTCTATGATCTTTTCTGTGATACCACCCCTTCCACAAACTGTTGTTTATATGGTCTTTATGCTTCACCTTTGCACATGAATGTATTATGATAAAATCATTAGTTACATGATGACATCTGTCTTAATGGACAGATCACATCTCTTCTGGAGAGGAACCTGAGCAAATCAATGAAGGCAGCCAACTCAACCCTGAAGAAAGTTCACTGTGTGCAACAACGGAAGGAGAGAATGTGTGACATAAACCAAAGAACCACCTCCAACTGTTACACAAACAGCGTTATTCACAGTTGTGCTGGCAACTAATGTCCTGGTGTACCTGTCTTCTGATTGGCCTCCAAACTTTGTATTTTTTTAATTACTGTGCATACTTTATGTATGCATTCAACACAAAATATGTAAAGCAAACTGGAAGAAAGTAAACAGAAGAATTAATTACAGCACATTTTCTGCTTTCACACCACAGCTGTGATACTTACCAGCTGGTCTCATCAGTTCTCCACCTAAACCCCTGCAAAGCAGAAACAAGAGCCTTCAGAGAATAACCCACCACAAGCAATCTGAGTGCACTGCCTAGTGAGAAAAATAACCCCCCTAAAAACCATTTCAGAGTGAAAGCAGATCACAAAATACCTGCAGTTTTGTATTTGACTGACTCTAAAATACTTCTTTTTAAATCAACTGTTGTCTTGACTTCAGCATGATTTCTACAAAACCCCCCCGAATATTTAACTTTCTTCTTGCAAAAACGCAGTCCTGGTCTTTCTAATATTTAATGTGAATAATAAAAGACTGTCAAGTTCATTCTGCTTTTCTTTCCACCTGCTTCAGAAGCATTCCAAACCTGTGGGACTCACCACAGGACTTTGCAGTCATATAGCCTCTACAAGCTTCTGACTTCCACAACTGAAAATGCAATTTTTTAACAAAATCTTCATTTCTGGAACATTAAATAGAAACTTCACTTACCAGTTTCCATTTCACAAATGTTAACTGGTTTACTTTCCTGGTGAAGTTTCTCACCCTTCTCTCTTCACCCTCTCCTTCCCAGCTAAAGCCAGATGATTCATCACCACAAGTGATGGGGTAAAAACTTCCAACACATCAGAAAAGGGAGAGAAACAAATGGCTCAAGATGCTGCAGACCCTCCTGAAGTAAGCGTGTGTGTTACAGACCTCAGGCTTATCCAGCCCAGTTATTCTGTCTTAACATTACCATGGCCACTGACAGCACTAAAGGAGAAAGTCTGAACTGGGCAGAAAGTGGGGAGAGGGAGAAGCGTCCTAGAAGTGGCAAGGCCCGTTTCCATTCTTCGACCTCTCATGTCTCTGGGCAGAGACGTCTCCTCACCCTGCTGAGCAACATCTGCTGGTTACATGGATGTCCCCGGGGTGCTGTGAGCACTGCTTGGGGTGTTCTGCTCAGTGTCACCCTCTGTGGCTTCATTTTTCCATTTTATGAACCTTTGACCCCTGCCCTTCCTTTGGATATTTCCTCCCTCAACTACTTATTCTTGTCTCTCTTCACTTCTGCTGGAATATTTCCTCCCTGAGGTGTGCCAAACCCTTAATCACCTGTTCATATGGCCATGCTCTGGCAGAAACTCCCAGAAGGGGGAGGAACAACAAAGGCTTTTTTGTTTATTTGCTTGGGGTTTGTTTTTTTTTTTTTTTAAACCTTTTCTTCCCTCCTCTCCTCCTCCCTCCCCGCAATAAAATTAGTAGCTACACTCAGAAGGCAAACTTAGCAACTCTAACAACTCTTAGAACTTTGTTCTCCAATTTATCCTTTTATATGAGCTTCAAAAGCCTAAACATTTTAAACGAGTTTTTCCATTCCATGCAAGTAAGTGCCTCCTGCAACATGCACTGGGTTTTTGACGGCTCAAGGTTTTAATTGGTTTTTCAGGTAATGCAGTGACGCCAACTCCACAATATTCTCATATGCCATAGATCAGCACTTCCTTTAATTCCCAAGTTTAATTGGGAAACATTTGATTTCGACAATCAATACATTAAGCTCAATGTAATAATCCACAGCTCAGTTTATCATCGTAGGAAGCAAGCACAGATTCCACATCCTCACGCTGATAATGTCTTTGTATTATCTACCCCACCTTCCTGCCATGTTGTCTGCTCTCCAGCTTCTAAAAAATTTAAATTAGAAAACAAAGAAGTGATGCAAGGAGTTGAGACAGTGGCAAAAATAGAAGAATGATGTGGCAAGGCTTGCTTTCTCTTCAGCATTTCTCTTCCCTTCATTCTGTCCTCACCCATTCCTTGCCTTTTTCTGTTGTCTTACTGCAAATGAGTATAAAATAATGATCTTGTAAATTTGTTTGGTGTGCAACAGAGTCTGCTGATGCAAGGATTCAGATATGGACTTCTGTTCAAACTACAAAGCAAGAACTGAGTCATAAAGGCTGCTCTTCTCCACTTCTTCACACTGCCAATAAGGAAGTCAGGCTGCTTAAAGCTACTCTTATGTTAATAATTTGACAGCTATCCCTTCCTTTGGCATTACATCAGCTCAATTTAATTTCAGACTTTAGAGCTTCACTGAGGATTGCTGTCCCTGTGCAAGAATGAAGAATGGTGACAGTGATCTGCATAGTAAAGATTCGCACATAATGCAGAAACTATAATCAAATCTATCTTTGAAGGCACTGCGATACCTTGTGTTCTTCTCTGCAAAGCTTTTCGAGTTATTTCTTGCCTACACATCACAGTATGTCCATCAACATTTCTAAATTTTTTTCACCTTTCAGCTCATACATATATCAATGTTAAGAACTGAGAATTCTATCATAATCCTAGATCTTTCCTCAGTCAGTGTTTAGTTTGTCAAACATGATGCACATCTTTCTATTAACTTTATCTCGCTCTACAGTATTTCACTAAATTAAAAAGATACGGATCTACCTAATTCAGAGATTCTGAATTTTGCTGTACAGTCAGTATTCTCTCTTTTTTCTTCCAAAGACATATCCACAAGTTGCATCACATTATTAGATGTACCTGTTTCAAGGTTTAATTATTAATTCAATTTGTAACTGACTGATGCAGTGCCCAGCTTCCCCGAGCTCCTAAGCATTCCTTCCTCTGTGCAGTTCCACAGCAATGTTTCTCTCCTAGAAACATCTTTGGATGAGTCACAATTTGTTTGTGGAAAATATAATCAAAATGTATAATCCCTTCTCGAACCAATGAATTAAGGTTACTGACCCAAGAATGCCGGTATCTATTTTAAAATTATGTGGGCCTAAATCAGGACCAATGGCAGTGCTGTTTTCAATGCATATATCAAGTCAAGGTACTTCTGTGGATTATTTTTTTTAATTATTTAAAACTTGTGAGAAGTTCAGAATTCATCTTTAAGATTATAAAAATAACAGTAACTGAAGCTGTTCAGAATTGAATAGTATCTACATTTTCATAAACATCTGAATCTGAAGTTAAAACTACTGGAATAGGTGAAGAAATCCAATTGCAAATACTCAATTTCCAGGAAGTACCTGCTGAGTAAGTACGTTCATCTCTATATGAATAGTAACCAATAATTTTCCATAGGAACTCTCTGTCCCAAACAGAATTGAGGTATCTTAAAAGGTCCAGGCTGTACACTTACTGGGCTTTGGAAGTATAAAATGGCTTTATCACAAGGTATACAGAGGAGGAAAGAGATACCTTTGAGCACAGAGGAAAAAGCCTGTGTATTTAATAAAGCCTTCTGGTCACCCCTTGAAGATGCAGAGAATAAACTATACTAAGCTGACAAACACCTCTTTTTAGGTTCCTGTAAATTCATACGCTGACTGTAAGCGTTTTGTATTGTATTCTAACACCACAAGTCTACAGGTGATATCGTGGCTCTATGGAAGTACGAGTTTTCCCAGTGACTTCAGTTCGTAGCAAAAGAATTTCACCTTATAACTCTTCAGAACACAGTATAGCATGATCTCCTGGTACCCTCGTGCTACTCGATGCAAAAACTAATTTAAACTTGGAAGAATTGTTAAGATGAGCTTGGTTGCAGGGCTGGAATTATTTGCTGATTAAGTTAATATGCCTAAAACCCCTCTTTTACATAGATGATTGCCAGGAAACACATTTGCCCTGAAACCATCAAGATTAGTTGCAACCTTAAAGGTCTTTAAATTAGACAAGTTTCTCTTTTGCCTAGCACCTGTCAACACCTACAGGCTACCTTAATCTTTTGGAAAAGCTGAAACTCTAAAGATGACAGTACAACTGTCACTGGCTACTATTCTGAAAATCTGAAATTGCTCGTCTTGCATAGCTGGCTGTGTAATACACGCAGCCAGTCTCTTCATATGTCACAAGAATGAGATCAGAGCAAAACTCGGCATGCAGCACATTGCACCAACTGAATCACCCAGCGTGGGAGTTGCTAACAAACACCACACATCCTGTCGTACCCAGCTCCGATGGGAACCCTGAAGGCCCAATAAATAGAACATTTGAAATACAGAAGTGCAGTGCAACCACCTGGAAGAAGCCCAGCGTATCTATCTGCAGCACTTCCATATCCGTCCCTAAATTACCTTGTTACCCAACTCTGGGGATTAAGACATACATTATCAGACTCAGAACTGGCTACAAGAAAGTAGGTAAAAAAAATTCGGAACATCTATTCAGTTGAATATTCAGTCAAGAACCTTATATGAGATGATGCATTTTTAAAGAATCTTGACAGAACTGCTATTAAAAATACTTTGTTCTTGAGGACTTTTCATACCAAGAACTAGTACAAGGTCTTAGATGCACTAAAGAAATATACCGCTACAAAAAAAAGATACTACCCACACTGGTTCAGTGGAAACATAACTTAAATCAGGCTGACCATTAACACTGTGTTCAAACTGGCCAACTGACTTCCTATCCCAAGTAAGACAGCTTAAGGCAACAGATACCACAAGTTTTTGTCTTAGGTTTTTATATATAAAAGTAATGCTTAAAGCAAATAAAATATAGCTCAATTTTTAGAACTCTATAACCTGTACAGCACAAAACAGGCACAACAGACAAGCACTCAGTTTAAGTGGCATGGCTTGCACATGACTTGCTATAACCAGTGCCCATTTAATACAGAGAATCAGGCTCACTGCGCAATACTCAACTGGAAGTGCACATGCAAATGCTCAAACCAACCAGCTCCTCAAGACAAACTAGTGCATCAAATGTGTCAGAATCCAGACTCAGGGAAGGAAGTACGGACTGATGTGCCTGGACTTGCATTCTCCTTTTTCAATGTACTATGGTAAACCCAGAAAAGGGCTTAGACAGGAAGACAAAAAGATACTTGCGTTTTTAAAAAAAAAGTTAATACAGCAGCGGACAGGATTTTCTATAGTTAGCATAAACAAATTTGAATGCTTCAAGTATACTAAAAATTGCGAGACTCTGCAGTATAACTCAAAACTTGGACTGCGTCCTGTCTGAAGGATAATTCATGGCCATAATTCAAAGTCAGGTTAAAGACAATGCAAGAGCTGCTAGACAAAGTAAGACTGTTAATTAAATGAAGGTCTCCATTACAGCACTTCGGCTTTCTCTTTTTTGACTCAAGGTACTTATGGATTCAATGGAATCCTAAGCATCAGACAATCAAGAAACTCATGACCCATTTTCCAGCTTAAAATTTATAAATGACAATTTAAAAAAAAAAAATCACGGCATTTTATACTTTACTTGCTTTTCCCTTTCTCATAGGCCAACACAATTTCTGAAACAGCTTGATCAAAGCATTAAAATCCATTTGGTCCACAAAAAGACAGCTATTTTGTTGCCAGAAGTGAAAGCAAAATATCTAATAAACAGTTGAGACATGTGACCTGATGCTTTTTGTTAATGCAGTTTAAAAACTAGAAACACAAATAAAACACACAGGTTTTCAACATTCCTACAAGATGTTGTTACACTGAAAATTCCCGGTAGCAATTTCTCAAATGGAAATCTTTGGAATATTATGTGCAATAATTACTCATCACAGAACAAGTTTAGCTTGTTTCACTAAATGCTTGCCCAGCAATACTCAAATTGCTGGTTTGTTTTTATAACCTAGTTTATTTTTCTTGTCCCATTTTAAAATATTTTATGCATACTGATACTTTAAAATATGGATTATAGTAGACATCTCTGTCTCAGTCTAACTATTAAACAGCAGTGAATCAATTTTGCTTGCAGTTGAATTAGAAGTCTTATCTAGAATGAAAACATTTCTGTAGGCATCTTATAAATACCATTAAGTGCAAGAAGTGCACATTACGACAAAAACAAATTACACCCAAGCTCCACCCTGACATTAAAGAATTTATGGGAGCCAAGACAGCCACCCACAAAGACACTAATATACAGTATCAGCATTAAAACCATCCGCCAGTACAAGCTAACTTTGGAGTGGAAGTTTCACATCAGTATGTACGACCTTCAAGAAGTAAATTTTAACATTTTTTTCAGAAAGTTTTGGGATACAAAAACTTACATAAAAATTCTTTAAATTATAATTATTAATTCCACAAAAAATTAGCTAAGTTTTACTGTTTTCAGAGATGTCATGTGCAAAAACATGAACTAAACTGCTCAAAAACTCAAAGAATTTGTCAGTTAAAGCAGAAAAAACCCCTCATTCACCTATACAATCATTAGGAATAGAAGTCATTAATTATGTTTTGCTTTCCTTAAATTTAGGAATGAACTCTTAAGTGTTAATTCATATTTACTGAACAGTTACTTAGGCAAACTCCCTTCATTTCCTAGAAGCTTCAAATAATAGGAAACGAAAACTCAGTGAAAACTCATTTACATTTTCTTTGGTGCAAGAGTTGAAAAATATTATCAAACCTTTCATAATACTCCTGGCCTACTCATTGCACAGGATGAAGAAAGTGATTCTAGAATTTAGATAGAAACTCCTTTTAAAAGAAGAAAAATTGGAGTCATTAAGTTATTAGTTAAAGATCATTTCTATAGACCTATTTGAACCATACAAGTACTACAGGACAGGTGAAGAATGGGAAAGAAACCCATTACACACTGCTGAAGCCATGGATTAGTGAGCATACCCTGTTTCAGCTTCCTTCCTTTCTTTAACTATCTCCATCACAATATTGAGGCCAGTACTTACCACTTTCTCATTAATCTAACCTGCCTGTGAGTCGCAGTCTTTAAATGCCACAACCATTATAAAACGACATAAGACTCTGTAATAGATAGACAAAGCCAAAAGAATGCATGTGCTTGTATTCTGATGAACCGTGTGAGACTGGCAGGCTGTGGTAGGTGTAACTAACTTGAACAAACCAAAACCCCTTGGGGTCCTACTGTTTTCATTACTTCTGATTCATACTTTCCAATACAAAAATTTTTTTTTTTTTTTACATCCATTTTCTTACCTGTATAACTGACGACTGCAAAGCTGGGGGAAAAAAAGGCAAACAGATATTAATATTAGCAGAGTTTGTTTCATACAAGTGTTTTCCTTTTTCTTACTCGCATGCAATGTCTATATACTCTGAGCTACGCAACACTTTGGATTATTTTAAAAATAAAATTCAAAGGAAAAATCTTTTTAAAAAACCTTCTCTATATCCATTCAAATTTTCAAAGAAAATCAATGTAACACATTCATAAAGCATTAATTTTCTCAATTCCAAATCCTAGCCACTCCTGCACATGCCCTGGAAGCTAGTTTGGCTTTTTAAAATACATTTGCTTTCCACACTTGGCCCTTCTAAAATGATGATATACTGCACTGTCTGAAAATTGAAAATAACTTTGTTAGCTACAGATTAAATAGAAAAAAACTTAAACAAAAGTTCAAATGTGACTGAAAAATATTCTCTCATTGTAACCATTACAATAGGTCATCTTCAAAGCTCAGAGATTACCAAATTTCTGTGTAGTAAAACCCCAAAAAACCAGATTTAAAAAAAAAAAAAAAAGGAGTTTACACTGACTCTGCAGATTAATTACAAAAACAGATGACAGCAGAAACTGGAAAGTATCGTAAAAAATTAAGGCCACTGTCACAGTACAGTTATTGCTGATCAAGCTTTCAGGTATTTCAACATGAGAAAGTTAAACAAGGACAAAGATGCTTTTTCAACCTGTAGCAGCAGCTTTCACCTATGCACAGAATTAAGCAAGCACCTATGTACTTTGAGGCATAGTGGGTAAATGGGAAGGATCAACAGCTTCAGCACATCAGAACTGGGACTAAAGGTACTAGAGATACTGCAGAAAATGAGTAGGAGCCTGAATGCTGAAGTACTGTCTGTTCCATAAGGTGAAGAAATAGGAGCCAAAAGAAAAAAACAACATGGGATAACTTAAAATTAAAGGGACAAGTTAGGGAAAATTATCTCCATAGAAGCATTTTAAATTGCTCTGAGCAGGACAAGACTTCATTTGTCATAAGTAGAGATAAAGACAATGCATCAGTTAAAATATAGAATATGACTTCCAAGGTCTATAAACAGGTAAATTATGGATGCAAGGATTTAGCAATGAAATGAAAAAAGAATACAAAGGACAGAGAATGGACTCACTAGCAGATCTCTCTTGAGCATGTTCACATTAAGGCAAAGCCATAGATCTATCTGCAAGGCCAGTCAGTAGGTACAGAAAGGGAGAAGAAACAGAAGGGGACAGAAAACCAAAGGAAAACAAAACCCCACGCAGCAGTTCAGAGGTGTAACTGACAGCACCACAGAAAGTGCCAAAGCCAAGAAGCTGGTAGAACAGAAAGGGGCCAAACCCAAAATCGTACTGGAATAAGAAAAATGGCCGAGGACATCTAGCTATAAGTCTGGAGTGTGTGTCCAAATTCCTATTTTGAAATTGTTTACTTTTGGCAAGGGGAAGAGGAAGGTGGAGAAGAGTTGTCTTAATTGTGAATGTTTGTTTAAAAATAATACAACATACCAGGTTAAAAGATACATTTATATTTGCTACAAACCTCTTGATGGATTTGCTTCAGTCCCTCCAATGATTTTTCATTGAAATAGTATGTTATAGATCTGGAAAGGTATACAACATTTTTAAGACTGGTTTCCGAATCATGCTATAAATAATTTTTCATACATGACTTTACTGTACTTTCAAACAGAAAAACAATCATTTGATTTCCAAATTATACTCAACAGAAATATGCAATATTTAATTTGAAATAGTTCAGCAGAGTAACATAAGCTCTTTCCTTATCACGTAGCAAACTCATTCTTAAAGGACTATAAAAAATTAGTGTCACTTACTAATAACATTACAATCAGTAATACACCAATAACCCTTCTCAGCTCAGCTGTATTTTTGGACTCCACCACTTCTGTGATTTGTCCATCATTTTCAAGTATTTCCTACTACTAAAAATGCTCTGCATCTTTATCTTTTCAATTTACTTGAAAATGGAACTCCTAAGATTAACACAAATTCTTTTGATACACGCTGCTGGCAAATAGAATTCCTATTTGCCAATAATTAAAAGCCATAAAAATCAGTGTACACTTTAAATATCTATCATTTGAACTCATCTCAGTATATTTAGCTAGTACAAACAATGACAACATTAAATTTGTTAGATGTCACCCCTCTTGATATCTTTATATGACTGCATCAGAATGTTCTCAGAAGTAAAATAAAAAAGGTTAATCAGAGAGTAATTATCCAACTTTTAGAACAAAAATGACCCAGACCAGAAAGTCTGTTTTTTAAAATGTATTTCTTCAATATACTTGTATCTATGACTCCTGCAGAACTGTATTTAATTCTCAATGAAGTTTGCACTCTGGAGTCTTATTTTCCACTGCCTTGCTCATCCCAATTTAAGTCATGCTAGTATAAAATTCTACTGCTAACATAAATTCCAAATTCAAGTTTTTGCAATAAAGATTTTCAACCATTTATTACATGTGATTCTTGTGAAAGAAAGAAAAGGTAAATGACTCATTTCTTTCATTGCAACATTAAAGCAAAGACATCTCCAAATAATTTTAATTATTCTGCTACATCATCTATATGTACACACACACATACACCCATATATATATCTCAGCATGCTTATGAGGAAAGTGGGTTTAATCTATATTTAAATAATAACTCTGAACTTCCCAAGTAAGACAGCAAATGATCTGACTTTCCTGATGATGAATTTAGACTCAAGTTTATAACATCACTGAACAAAATGTGAAGGCTTGGCATGGCTGATCAAAACAAACAACAATTCAATGGAAAAAGAAGTTCAGTAAGATGGAGATTTCCATAATTATACCCAGGAAGCTTTCAATAGACCAGACATGAAAGGCAAATTTATAGTCAAGATAGTCTTGCATTTATACCTATTATTCTCTTCTGCTAGTTTACACAGTGCATGGGTGATCTCAGCACAGGCAAGAATTGCCCCATGGCGTGTGTGCAGATCTGTGCCCACTGATAAAGGTAGAAGTCTTGGCAAAACTGAAAGAGATGAAATAATTTATTTTTTTTAAACAAAACATAGTGACACATAGATCACAGTTCTAAATGTAATCATGTCTGCCTAGAAATAACATGGGAAAACCATTTCTGGAAAGTCAGGCCAATATATCCTGACTACTATATGAAAATCAAGTTTTAAAAATATAAGTATATTATTATATATAAATTCTGACAAAGCATACCAAACCACACCAAGAAATTTTGTACTCACAACTGCCTCCCTGTTTGGAGTAAATAAAATAACATACTTGCTATTAGGCATTGGGCTGGCTGAGCGGGAAAGGAAATGAGGCTTGTACATCCATGGAATTTTACTTCCATGTTAACTGCCGCCTTCCTAGTCCACTACAGGGAGCCCAGGTAAGATCTGCAACTGCAGGTTCACCTGGGTGGCAGCTGCTGTCTTTCAGCTGTATTAAAAAGCAGCTAGTACATCCTCAGAATCATGAGTGGGCCAAGCAAAGGATCCTAAGGAACATTTCATTACACACACAACAGTCAAAAAGGAATTCTTCTGAAGATGTCAGATTGGACAAGACAAAACAAAACAGATTCCCCCACCCTGTACAACATCAAAGCTGTATCAACGAAGCAAAAGCTAGGAATTTGAGGGCTAGCTGCCTGAATTGTTGCAACAGAACTACACCCATTTATTCATCTTGGAACTGGTAGGGTCCAGTGTAGCCAGATAACTAAAGTCCAGTCCCCAGATAAAAAAAAGATCTAAGAGTATTTTATAATTTTTTAAGAAAATCTGGAATCGGAATCTAGTGAAGCCATTAGTGTCACTACATTGTGTGAAGTTGCAGGGGAAAACTTAATTTTTATTAAGTCATGGTGCATGTTTAAATCTTCTTAATACATTTTTGCTACATAAGCTAGAACACTCGATACGGCATGCTATGCAGAATTTATTTGTTACCTACCCACATTTGCCATGTATTCAGGAGCCCGTGGTGTAAGGTTATGCAGAGCTTTGGTTGAAAGTTCTCGAATAACACTGAAGACGTAAAAAAGCATTTTTGGATTTTTTTGGGTTAGCAATTTAGTAGAAGTAATGTATTAAAAAAAAAATAAAAAATGTCAGGAACAGACTTCTGTCCCTGACCAAAATAAAGACCTCGGCAATATTAAAAATTGCAGTATTGTCTGTCCATCCTATGCTTCCTCCCCTCAAAGAAAGCCAACAAACCAAAACAGTGGACCAAACAGACAGCCTACAGCTAGCTTTTAGCTAGATGAATAGAACTTATTGCTGAAAGAGACAAGGAAAAACAGAAGTGTGGATGGTAGAACCTGAGGGCTCATTCTATGCATTGGCAGGGACACTACAGTAAACTGTTATTATTTCTCATGATGCAAACTATTATCAGCACTGATATAATCTCATTTGTGTTATATGTACACATTTTAATCTTCATGAATGCTGAATATGACTAAGCACCATCTCTATGCATGAAATCTACTTTAATTATGATAATTGTATGGTGATAGTGTTTAGCCATCACATACACTATATTCCATATAAATGTGTTTTATTAATCTATTAACAGATTGAGGTCATGGCAAAAAGACAAAATTCATAAACATGCTTTAAGTGACAATATGCTAGGGAGGTATAGATGGCATCAGCTACTAGTTGTCCAGTTTCCTTCAGTCAAATGCTACTGCAAACTTTAGTGTAAGTAAAATTTACAAAAATAATCTAGGAAAGCATGACATGCAGAACAGTCAATTCCTGAATATTAATAATTAAACTTTATGAACTTACCTATCCCAGTGGTTAATCTTCATGTTAACTAAATGATCAATCATTGGCTGTGTATACTCAGGAAAACCAGCAATATACACACTGAAAGAGAAATGTTCATATAGAGAAGTACAGAATCAATATCTGTGTGCATTTGAACACGAGCTACTCCAAAGATTTAAATCCTCTAGTTTTAAAGCGACCAAAAAAAATTCATCCCTTCTCCTAAATGAGATGCAGCTGAATGAAATAATACAACAGGAAATACTTTACTGAAAAAAATAACTTTTTTAAAACTCTCAGAGTCTTCATAAAAGCTACTATACATACAAAAAGCTTGACAGTAACAAAAAGCAAAAATAAACATTCAATTCCCATTGTTACATTCTAGAAAATCTAGACGTATATTAACTTACAATATTATTTCAGAATAATGTATTAATGATGTAATCTACAGTACACAGTAAAATTAAGTTATAGACATGTGCTACATCTTCATAAATACAATGGTCCAAAATTCAATATGGGTTTGCAATTTGTCCTTTTTAAAAATCAAACATACACAAAAAGTCAATTCTGACAAAAAATGTTAAAGCTGCGAAGTCAGAACCTAGGATGTAAGGGAACACCAGAATCCATTTCCTAGGCAGCCTGCACAACTACCTAACTTGACAGCCACACTTGCTTTCCAGTCTTCAGAAGCATCAACTATTGAAAGCTAAGGTCAACAGAAGTTAAGTGAAATGATTTTACAGTACATCTGATGTATGTTAAATAATCTTGGAAAGCTAATCAATCAGTAGAATGTGTTTGTGTCAAAACGGTACACACAAAGGGACGGAATTAGGACACATGCATTACCTTAATTTCACCTTTTCCTATCTTTTGAGTGATTAACTTTGCAACCATAATAGTGTTCCATTCATACATGCGTGTGTAATTGGAAGCAAAACAAAGACAAAACCCAAATACTGATGCATGTTACCATACTGATATCTACGTGATTCATCAGAAGAGAAGGAATCCTTAAATCCACAGCACAGACCTCAGCCACTTGAGCCAATACAGAATAAAGTACTATCTACCACTGCTATAAGCCCTAGAGGGGGATTAGACAGTTGGTTTAACTGGTTGTTGATGCCAGCAGAGAAATGATAAAATTCATTACTCTTCGGTTCCTTTCCCTGTTATTATGCCGTAACAGACACACTTCCCCTGCCATATTTGAGTTCTCTCTTCTTTGTAGTTGCTTTTTGGGTCCTAGTTTTAGTACTCACCATTCTTGCCAGCCATTTTAAGCTGAACTTCCCAGCTCATCAAAGTTGATCTCATGGGCCATGTCTGTAGCCCAATCCCACTTTCAGTTTTAGTTTGTAACTATCTTTAACTACAGTCCTCATCTTTTGTACCCTACTGAGTATTTAATGCAAGTAGCCTTGGATACAAGCCTAGCTTTCCTGATAACGTTGCTGGTAAGATTTTTGTGTCCCACTCTACTTAGATTAAGAAGCTTCTTCCTTAACTCTGCTTTTACCAAGCCCGGAACTCCTGGAATCATGTAATCTCTTCACTCTCAGTTCATACCAAATGGGTTTCCTCTACCTTCCATCCTTGGAAATAGATTATGATATTTGAGCTGAATCCTCCAAAGGACATCAGTAAGAAGTTTCAGAGGTGCACCCAGTGTGTAAAACTTGCATAAAAATACTTAGATTTGAAAGGACATAAGCAACGATTTATATACACACATATATAATATATATT